CCAACTTTACTTTATCCGATAAAGTAAAGTAGGATTACTTTACTTTACCCAGTAAAGTAAAGCATTTTGCTTTACTTTACTTTACTTTAATAAAGTGAAATAAAGATAAAGTGCCACCCCTAATCTCAATGTATGTGTATGGATAAAGGTTAATTGATATACACTGTTATCATGGGGGTAATAATAATTGACCGAATTTTCAGCCTACGGCCTAACTGGCCTACGCATTTCATTGGCTATTTTCTTGATATACATCTATCGGAATAAAAATGATTAAAAGCGCCATTAATAACATAAGATGGCGCCCTTATATTATATAATACACATTATTTCGTGCTAGTATGAAAAGTTAATTCTTTTATTAGGTTTTTATGTAAAATTTCTAAAAACTGTGCCTTAATCTGATAAAAAAATATAGCGAAATTTTTCAAAATAAATTTGATTGAATTAATTAACATTTTCATTTGATACTTGTGCAGAGTACTATGCAACCATGCGAAAACATGTAATATTATTTGATGCGACAAGCGTACTTCAAATTATTGTATTAAAAATTACATGCATTTATTTTAAATTAAATTGATGTTTTCTAAACTTGATTCAATTCATTTGCTCATAGAGGATCGATAGGTATTTAGTAAAGGAGATTGTGTTGTTTTCTATATATCTATATATGTATATATATACCATTTTATTCAACAAGAAATAATAGTTTAAGAGAAAATGTTTACACAACAGGGAGAAAATAAACAATCAATAAGAATAAAATGATATTTGCACCTTCAACATATTCACTATGAAACAATGTAACAACTATAATAACACATGTTTATTGAATATCATTGAAATAAACGATAAAATAATTCTTCAAGCATGAAAAAAATCAATATTTTCTACGTTTCATTTTTTTTCTTTTATCAGCTTCAAAATCACTAAAATTAAAAATTAAATTAAGGTTTTAATCTACTGAATTTATAATATTTCTACCTTTCAGATGATCGAATATTTTGGTTTTTGCATAATTTCGTTTTTGAACGTGTATTAATCGATACATGAGATGTTGAAGGTGACGAAATATGAACGTTTCCAATTTGATTAACTTTAAGCACATTCCTATTTATATGTAAAAGGTAAAAAATTATATACATTTTAATATTCCAAGCAAAAGATGTGAACATATGTTTTGTAACAATAAAGAATAATAGAAGAATAAATAAGATTAATAATCGAGACAAGTCATCTTTTGAAAAAATGAGTGTCGCTGATCCTTTTTTTATATCAATGAAAATAAATTCCTTAAAAAAATGTCTAGAGTTTTCTCACACTTCTTACAAGCAACTTACCTATGTTGCTTATAACATTTTTTGTCATCATCTTCAACTGCTTCATCATTACTTTTATCATATTCAATTTTATCATCATGACTTTTATCATATCTAATTTTTTCATCATGATTTTCATCAATTTCAATTGTTTCATCATTACTTTTATCATATTTTATTTTACCATCATGACTTTTATCATGTTTTATTTTTTCATCATGATTTTCATCAACATCAATTGTTTCATCATTACTTTTATCATATTCAATTTTATCATCTCGACTTGTATCATCTTCAGTTTTTTCATTTTCATTTTCATCATTAACAGAAGGTGAAACAATAAATTTAGCTCTAAAAAAAAATTAATTTATTGAGAATTAAGAAACGAGCATCTTACAATGTACGTTGTACAATTCGAATTCTTTTATTCGAAATAGCATAAATATTATGTAGTCGTTCATAGCATTTAGGAGATGATTCAATAAAACCAGTTTGTTCATATATATGAATAAATGACGAGACGACAACTTTAATTTCTTCATCAATAGGTAATACAATAAGTTTTTCTATAATTGGAAACATTTTTCTTTGTGATCCTTTATTTCCCCATAATAACATACTTGTTTCATCTTTTTCTTTTATTAGCATAATTAATCTGATCAAGTTTTCATGTTTCTCCAAAGCATAAACACGATTAGAATTAACTTTGTCAAATAATAACATCGATTGTTCATCAGTAAGACCTGTAAAAGATGGAATTTCAAAAACAAAACATTATGAATGAAGTTCTCACCTTTAGAAACGAAGTCACTAAGTCGTTGTTGTAATTGTTTATTTGCTGCTGGATAAACTGCTGGTATGTTCACATCAACATATGCTTGTTTTACTTTAGCATACAGTTCATCTAAAAGACATTCATTTGAATAGAACTCTATGAAAAAAGTCTCTTACCTTTGTCTTTAATTAAATTTGAGAACTTCACCGGGTACATCGTTGATAAATACTAATAAATCTACAATGAGATCAAAGCAGCTATCACATAATAGACGAGTTTTCTATCTTTTCAATCAAGTTTCATAGTTTACAAACAAAGAAGAAATACAATAAAAAAGAAATTAAATGGCACACACTATAATCAAAAAGTACAAAATATTTTGTTAATGAAAGTCAACATGAGATAAAGAAAAAACATACAATCAAACAATAAAAAAAAATCACAATGCAGCTTGAGAACAGATCTAGATGTCTAGGGCATATGCTGAAAACATCAGCCTATTCTATTGAAAAAAACATGAAAAAAAAGAATATTACTTGAAGGGAATCAGAACTTATTACATACTCTTTATATGATGAAAATTGCTGATGTATTCAATGATGAGTAGATAAAAATATGATGAAAATCCAAAACAGAAACTTATATTACAATCATGTGAAATGTTTCAGTATCGATTCTGCCTAGAGTATTCAAGCTTAATTAAATACGAGATTTTAATCATGTCCATCTTGTATATACTCAATAAAGCTTCAGCTATGTACATTAAGAAAAATTATCCAAAAGACACTAATGGACAATTTATGTTTAGTTATTATAGGTCATCTTTGATCTGCCTCACAAAGAAAACTGTTGAACAATAGCTCAATAATAAAAGTCATTGAACGATGATTGAGAAAATAGATTAAGAATATAGTTAAATGCAAGAAATTGATACATGACTATCTACTATAATAATACGAGAAATATGTAATAATTTTATAAAAATTTATCGGAGAAAATTTACAATACCTATGATGATTGACGAACTTCAGTTTGATTTAATTGCTGTTGAGGAACAATAAGATTAATTGGTGTAATAAAACGAATTGCTTTTATAACTTTAGGTGTAGTAGTAACATTAGATGTTGATGACGACGGTAAATTTGATATATCTGTTAGTGTACGTGTGACCAATTGTGGATTGTTCGATGGATTCAACGGAAATGAAATAATATCATCTCGACGTGTTCCAATAGCATTTGTGGTGCTATTTTGTTTTGAAGAAAAATATGAAGATGTATGTTCCTTATTTGATTCTTTATCACATCGACGTGGGCATTTACCACCGGCTTTTTTAATCTTATCGTCAATCCGTTTTCGTTTTCTTTCATGACCGAGATTAACTTGATTATCACGTTTATCTAATGGCATACCTTATAAAGTGAAAAAAAAAAATTTAAAAATGCTCCCTTCATATTTAAGTTTAAAAGTTACCTAGGAATTGTTTCACAGCAAGTACATGTGAACAATTTAGTAAAGTATTAGGACACGAACATCGAAAAAGACGTTTTGGATCATTCATGTGAACGGCATGAACTAATAGATGATCGAGAGATCGAACAGTAAATGCTTTTGTATCAGGATGATATTGTACCAAATTTTGTTCAAGAAGAAGACTAGCTCGACTAGTATTTGTTAATTTTTGTTGTCGATTATCATTAATACAAGTTTGGTTATTAGGTAATGGACGGTTGATACTTGATTCATTATTGCACATCTCTTCAATAGAATTGTCATTGTCAAGATCACTCGTCATATCATTCAGGTTGATAATGCAAATTTGATTTTGTATATTATCAAGTGCTGGATTATCATCATGTACTGGATTATCATCATGCGCTGGATTATCATCATGTGCTGGATTATCATCATGTGCTGGATTATCATCATGTGCAGGTGTTGGTTGCTTAAGCATAGCAGACTTTATTTTTGCCACGACCTCATCAGGTGAAAATCCAGAAACAAGAGTTAAATGTGCAGCATCAGTTTTTGCATCATTGTATGCTGCTTCTAAATGATAACCACCTATAATAGACAAGAACCAACATAAGACACGTTCTTAAAAAATGCTAAAAATGACCGACAGCTCGTATACATACCATAAGAACAAAGACCACGTCTAACTTCATTCACATAAAATCCCATTACAAAAAAAAACATTTGCACTAATGCATCTAATGATAATTCCTTCCAAGAAAGCCAACGCTTAAAAACAGCATTTAAACTTTCAATCGGGTTGTTCGTTATTCCAGAAACTTCATCAAATAACTGAAACATCCGACTTGACCATCCACCTTTAACAAACGAAAGAAAAATACCTATAGCAGCAATCGATTCAAATGAATAAAATAATATGACTAGGCTCTTTTCAGGAAGAATCATGTTCAAGATCGCCTCCTATACCTATATAACATAAGTCGACTATTTTTCTGATCGAATGTATTGACTATATTTTATCCGCATTTGACAAGTCGACTTATCCTGTGGAAGATATTTTGTTGATCAAATGTATTGACTATTTTTTTTCCTCATTTGACAAGTCGACTTGTCCTTTTGTAACAAGTCGACTTATCCTCTAGAAGATATTCTGCTGATCAAATCTATTAACTATTTTTTTCCTCAGTTGACAAGTCGACTTGTCCTCTGAAAGATATTTTGTTGATCAAATGTATGGACAATTTTTTTTCCTCATTTGACAAGTCGACTTATCCTCTGGCGGTTATTTTGTTGATGAAATTTATTGACTATTTTTTTCTTCATTTGACAAGTCGACTTGTCCTTGTTGACAAGAGGATAAATCGGTTTATGAAATGAGTGACGACATCATGCGACAAGCTCGATCCTAAAACAGGATCATCACCATGAAATACTGAATTGATTAAAATGAAACCTGACGAGCAAGAAGAAGAAGGATGACAGATTTTTTTTACTCACCTAACTCATTAATAATTGGTAAAGTATTTTTTTCAAAATATTCAACAAATCTTTTTGACCAATGTAAAGATATATTTTCATACTGTACACGAAATTCATTGTAAGATGATGCACGTAAAAGAGTTTTAATTGTATCAATAACATGATCAATAATTTCCTTTTTGTTCAGTTGAGCATCAGTGGCAGCAACAACATTCTGTTGTTGTTCAACGAAAAAATACTTTTTAGCAGCTGATTTTATATCATTCATAGCATGATTCCAACAACGCAATTGTAACATTGTTGGATAATATTTTCGAAAAGCATTTTTTAGTGCATCTTCACCATCCGTTATAAGAATACAATTTTTATGAAGATTTGGTAATTCATTATTCAAGATTTGTACAAAACGTTCATGTCCTGATTGAAGTTTTCGATCATGCATAAGAATTGCAAGTGGAAGTATTGGTCGTTCAGAGAACATTACATTTCGAAATCCAAGTATCTAAGAATAAGCAGCATATTGAAATCTTTTTTTAGTAAATGTAGAAGTTCTTACAGAAACATAAATTTCACCAAGAGAAAAAGTTGTGTCATAATATAAAGGTATTATTTGTTTTGTTATTCTAAGAAGATTTAGAATTTGGTTTTTCATTTGATCATGCATCAATACAATTAATATTTCCGGTTGTAATTGTAGTAATTTATAAAATTCGTTCAGCTCGTATGATAAAAGAATTACATTAATAAGTTCATCATGAGTTATTTTTTGATTGTTTAAGAATATTTGGCGTCTATAATTACATTGTGATGCATTACGTGGACCATTAGCACCACCATTTGTAGCAACTAATGTTTTATAAGCAGCAGCACCCGACATTTTCGAGACAAGTTGATCAATTTGTTGAATTGTTGATTGAGGTGTATGATGTAAAACATGTGAATTTATTAATTTACAATTTCCATGTGGATGATTTGTTGCAACATCAAGATTTCCTAAACAAAAAAATATATTATAACGCAATAGAAATCAAGTAAATTTGTTTGAATAATCTTAATTTTTCAATCTTAAGTATTTTCATGATGCAATTATCTAATTTAAAATTAAAATGTTTTGTCTTGAAAATTGTTTAGTTTAATGAAGAAATATTGTTGAATAAAAAAAATCTTCTACTCAGTTTTAATTGTTTTGATTATGTGAATTTATCTTCAGTCGTATTCTAATTTTGTCTAGGTAAAATTGGAATTTCAATTCTGTCCAGGCAATATCTAGTCAAACTTAAAATTCTAACTTCACCTAGGCAAAATTAGAATTTCAATTTTGCCTAGACAAATTTTAAATTTGCCTAAATCTTAATTTTGACTGTAATATGTGCACGACTAAGTACGAGAGAAAATATTAAGTGTATTCTTGAACATTAATATAATAATTTTTGTCGAAATTATATACACCAAATGCAATTATGAATTGGTATAGCAACGACAATTTAGACGAAAAGGAGCTTATTAATTAAAGAACTATTGATATTCAGATGCAATCAAAACTAACAGAACACATAAGAACTTACACACTGTCTATCTAAAGCATATTTTCTCTCATACATGTATAGAGTAAATTATGCTAACCGACCCCGTAGTCTTAATCTTTCAATGACAAACTTTGATCGGAGTGAAGTTAATTTACCATAATAATAAACAAGAACATCAAAATCATTCGTATTTGAAATATAGACATGCTTCACACACCGACTATCTTTTTTCTTTTCAGAATTAATACAATAATAATAAATCTTCATAAATTTAGGATTATTTTTCGGATATGGTGTTGAACGTATATTTTTCCATGAATAATGGTCAAATCTATAAGCATCTAAATATACAAAATCTATGTTTATTAGTTAAATGAGAATATTAAAGCTCACCTTTGGTATTTGATGCAAGTGCAAGACGATAAACTACATTTACTTCGATTTTATCGGGTAATTTCTCGAGTTTTTCACCATTTAGTAATGCAAAATCAAGATCTTCTACTCTTAATTTAACATTTGATTTGTTTGTCGCTAAATCAGAAGGAATTTTCAAATAATAATATTTTAACTTAAATTTTACTTGAACGAAATGCAATAGTATCAGTCGTCATTGTTGGATATAAAACAAAATATGATATACAATAACTCTGACAATTGTCGATTGGCTCTTACATCTAAAAAATTTAGACGTTTAAAAAGCACTTTTAAAACATATTAGCAATATTCTTTAAATAAGATCAAATTGTAAATATAATTGTTCAGAGTTTATTTAAAATTTTATTTTTTTATTTTGTTGTGATACTCATGATAGAAACTGTAACATACTACTCAAAGCTTCAATATCACTACTTGTTATATGTTGGCCATTTATGGGTAAATAATGGAACATCATTGATAGGCTTACTGAATATTTCGTGACGACCAATCGACGTCGTAGGCCAGTTAGGCCGTATACTGAAAATTCGGCCAATTATTATTACCCTTATCATGGATCATGAATGATAACATGAACAATGACTTATGGACGAGAAAAAAAAA